TAATTTTTAACTTCCCGTAGGGTAAGTTATAGTAATCGCAAAAAAATCGAAAATGAAAAATTTTATATATCTTTACGTTTCAGAGGTTTCTGAACATTTTGGCATACCTTAGAAAAAATGGATGTATGGTGTGTGGTGTGTGTGTGTGTGGGTATGTATGTAGGTGTGTGTGTATGTATGTGCGGATACAAATTTTCGTCGACGATTTCGGGAACACGGATCAACCGATTTGAATAATTCAAAAAACATTCGATTCGTACTGATAAGGAGACGTGCTGATTAGTTTTTGGCGAAGAAGTTAGGTCTAGCCGTTCCGAAGATACGGGGCAAAAAGTGCCCGAAAACGGTAACTCAGTTTTCAAGAGAACGGAGCGTCCGATTTGAATAATTCAACAAAAAACATTTTACTTGTATTGGCAAGATGAAGAGTTGATAAAATTTTCATGAAGGCAGGTCTAGCGGTTTCGGAGATCTAATGAAAAAAAGTAAAAAAAAATGCCATTCGGCGGTTAAAAATGATGATTAGACATATGCACATCAAATTATCAGATATTGTATAGAAATTTTAACAATAAGTATAATTTTTTTTACATTTCTATGGGTTCCGTACCAATGTTTATGCGTTAGACGGCGGCGGCGCGGCACTTGCGCTGTGACAATTCGTCTCTATGCAGTTCAAGCACTACGATTGCTTTGAAAAAAAGTTCAGAATTTCCAAAATATGTCAAAATGAAAGAAAACATTTTTCTTTTCAAAAAAATAGTTTGTTTTCAAAAAAAAATTTTTTCTTTCAAAAAAAAATTTTTTTTTTCAAATAAATTTTTTTTTTTTCAAAAAAAAGTAATTTTTTGTCATATTCCTAGTTTCTCAATAATTATTTCGAAGTAATTTTTTTTTTTCAAAATGTTAATCGTTTTTAAAAAAAAAAATTTTTGGTACGCGGAAGTTCCCGCAATTTGCCTTAAGGCACGATGCCCTAATTGCCTTAAGACAGAATTCCACTTACAGCTAGTTTCAATTTAATTTAATTTTGTCTCAACTCAACTGATATTATCAGGCTACAAATAATATGCAATATAATATTATGTGAAAATATGCATATAAATACTAATTCTTTTTTGTTTGCTTTTTAATATCGTTCCAAAAACGTTGGGTTATTTTCGATAATAATATTCATCCTGAGGAGGCTCCACAGGTTGGAAACCGCTGCTCGCTGGAAAAACTACTAGTTTTTTCTTGAACAGTCTAGAATCATCATACTCTTCCATTCAGATACTTTTTGTAATGGAAGTGGTTAATGAAAGGGTTTTACCTTTATTGATGTTACATTACAAACATTTTTTTGCAAATATGAATATATAATTGTTCTTTCTTGTCCCAAGTAATTTTAAAATTATGTGAATGAAGCGATTTGTCAGTAAAATTATTTTTTCGTTAATATTGCTTTTGCTGGCTATTCTCTTCTATTACACTTTTTTATTAACTAGTTTTACATAAATTATTATAACTTCACCTAGATTTACTCATTAATATATTTATTTCAATAGGAGGCCCACTTAGTCCCCCACTGGGTACATTTAAACGCCAACGATGTCTTCGATATCCAAAAATAAATGTTCGAGCAATTCTTCGGGCAGGGAGCGAGATTCTAAAACTGTAATCAGATCCAAGTCGGATATCAGCGATAGGTGAGATTTTATTGAAAATTTTCAATAACAAAGTTTTGCAGGTTTCTCAACATTTTGGCATACCTCCGAAAAAATGGATGTGTGTATGTATGTATGTAATTGAAAGTATGAAAAATTGCATTTTCGTCCACTTTTTCGGGCATAAAGATCAACCGATTTGACTGGTTCAAAAAACATTAGATTTCTATTGATAAGAGATGTGCTGATTAGTTTTTGGCAAAGGCAGGTCCAGCTGTTTCGGCGATATGGAGCAAAGAGTGCAGAAAATTGAAATCGAGTTTCTGAGAGAACTGAGCATTTGATTTGTATGATTCAAAAAGCATTCAATTCGTAATGGTGGGGATAAATGGTATTAGTTTTTGGTTAAGACAGGTCTAGCCGTTTCGGAGTATACCGAGCTAAATGGGCAAAAAATGGCACTTTTTGGGGGAACTACTATAGTTTATTAATAATATAGTAATTATTATCATAATAATAATAATATTAATATTATTAATAATATAGGGAACACATATAGGTATATATACCCAATTAATTATTATAAATCATTCATAAATCCTGCTCATTATTTAGGTCAAGTATAAGAACAAACATTCACATATACTTTTTTGTCCCATGCAAATAAATAGCATCTATATTGCCTGCATAAAATATATTCTAATTAAATTAACCAATTTGGAGGACAGTTTTCAGCTCCGTGTACTACATTTCAAAGCATAAGCAAACTACAAAGCAAAGTAGGTAGTTTTTCTCGGTCTTCCTAAGAGTTCATGTCTATGATCAGTACACAGTTATGCTCCAAACATAATATGTTTAACTTTTACTGCTAGTAGAGACTTGATATGTGTATTTCAAACAAATTGATTTGTGCGATTTTTTTTAGATATTGCAACAACAAAGGCGAAAAAATAATCCGCTGCCGATCAGCCCAGCAGCCTACACCACCTTCACCGCTCCATCACCAGCCCACGTCGTCTCAGTCTGCAAAATCCATTGACAACCAGATGTCGCGCGTCGAGAGTTTCTTCGACCGTTTGGGCTTGTCTGATGATACTTTTAAGGAATTGATGACAGGAAACGAACACGTGAGGTATAATTCTATGGCATCTCCGGATCAGAACAGTAAAGTGAGTTCTCCTCCTGTATTTTTCTCCGATACGAGTACCGTGGATTCTTTGGATCAATGTGTTTATGATTATACAAATACTGGTAGCAACAATGCTCCGGTGCAGAATGTGGTGAGGGTGAGCGAACCTCCTTCAGTGGTTGAAAGGAATGCGAGGATTATTAAGTGGTTGTGCAACTGTCGCAAGATGCAATTGCAATAGATAAACTGTTAGTTTTGTCGAAAATTCTTTGTTGTTGTTCGGTGTTGATATGTGTGATGTTAGAATAGTGTTTCTTGACCGTTTGATATTTCAGTAGTAGCATTGTATTTTAAAATTGAGTTTTATATTTTTATAATTTGCTGACTCCATTATTATTTTTCAGTTAAACATTTTTAGTATTACTTTTTTAACAGATTTGAAATTATTTTCCACTGCCATTTTGCCTGTGGTTTATCACTTTCAACATTATATTTTAAAATTTGTCATCAGTTTCTAGAAACTATAGTTTAGACATTCTTTAATTCTGTTGCTTCTACATATATGATCCATTCAAATATATATTTCCCCAAGATTTTTTCTGATTTCATAATAACATCGTAACTGCAAAAGCTGCTTTTAACAAGTATAATCTAACAGATCACAAAGTCGGAATAAATTTCATATCGGGTAAGGACATACTGAGATGTGAATTTTTAAGATAGCAGTCCACAAATAAATTGTTTGGCGCTATTTGGGACATCAGCACATGAAGCATAAGTCTAAATGGAACAAGTCATACATTGACTATAACATACATTGACGTAATCAACCTTCTCGTGCTCTTCTTTTTATCAGTGGATTCTTTGGTCCTGTTTCAATTTTCTTTGGTCCTGTTTCAATTTTTTTTATCTTGGTTTAGAAAGAACTATCCTGTAGTTTTTGCCATGTAGTACTATGTCATTTTATCCATTGCATAAGTAAGTCATTTCGTCCGAGAGTAAACAAAAATGAATAAATAATCAAAATTCCATGAAACACCTGATTATTGCAATAGAATTGATAAAAATGATTAATACTGGTTTATTAAAGTTAAATAAATTAACTTCATTGATTTTATTCTGTGACAATGACGCTCAACGCCTGACAGGTTTGTGATTATAGCTTTCTTCATATTATACAGTTTCGGAAAGGTTACTACTAAATTAACTAGCCAATTTTTAAATAAAGCTACTGTGTCATTTTGCCCATATTTCCCCTACATCCAAGCGGTAATAGGTACATTTTTACTCATCAAAAAGTAACAGATACATGATGAACTTAAATTATCAGTATATGTAGAAGGGAATGGCAATATTTGATGTTGTTAATTCGATAATTGTTAAATTTCACCTTGGATGGCTAAACCAGTCAGTTACCTTGACGAGATTGTTTGGAGCGCCAGAAGATATTGTATTCATATTGCCATTACTTGGCAAATGATGGATCGACTAAAAGAAAGAACACCACCAGTTTTCATGTTTGCGATTGCTTTACCTCAACGGTATGTAAATAATCCAGAAGGTTTCATATTAAAATCAAAACTGCAATTGCTATTTGTCGATCTTCTTTTGACATTCATATTTGAAACAGATTTGAAATTATTTTCCACTGCCATTTTGCCTGTGGTTTATCACTTTCAACATTATATTTTAAAATTTGTCATCAGTTTCTAGAAACTATAATTTAGACATCTTTAATTTTTCAATGTGTTGTTTCTTATTGAAATGGTTTAAGAAACACTTTACTAATGAGTGAAATGAGAAAATTATGAATGTATGGTGAAACAATCACGTTAATCTTAGTTATGTGATAAGTTGAATTTAGTTGTTGAATTTTGAGATATTCTAAAACGGACTTTAAATGTAATCTTTAATATTAGAATTTTTTAATGTTATGTTGGTGAAACAAAAAAGTAGTTGGTTTATTTGTTACTTCTACTAGGCGGTCATAAAATAAAGTATGATGGATAGTTTTATTAGATGCTACTGTATGAGTTAATAAATTTATAAATGAATACCTTTATTATCAAACAATTCAATGTCCAAAATATGCACAACTAGTTGCATTAACCAACATAAAATTCACATAAACCAGTATGTACTTCGAGGCTAATCATGATTGCAAAATATAGACAGAAATTACTAATAGTAGCTTTTTAAAAATGCTTAGGTTTATTATATCATATAGTAGCACAAGGGAAAAAAATTGCATTATTTTTTGGGTTTAATCGAAAAAGCATCTAGTGATGAAATCATTCGTTTTCTAAATGAAATACCTTAACGTACAACTTCTTCTAAACCGTATAAACGATTAGTGATATTTTAAAATCTAGTATGTAGTATAATCGATATTCAGTGTATCTTTACAGGCTGTTGTATTCGAATTTAATGAAGTGCATTGTATTATTCTATGCACCATAGTATTTAACTAATCTTTAAGAATATTCTGAGGCTATGTATTTGGGGATGAATTTTTGGTTTCCAAATGGAAAGGGTCAATGCTAATAATATACAGTTATAGTTAAAATTCAAAATAAAACGGACTTACAAGGCATTCTTACCTAATGATTAGTTATAGATAATTTGATTTGATAGTGCCACAAATCTTTAGTTGGGGAATTTTAAATTTGGCACAATGACATTCAAGCTTTGAGATATTTTCTTTTATACATCACAAAAGTGCAATATCGTTCTCCTTATACATGCCTAGAATCTCATAGTATTAATTTTTCACTCAACTTTTCATCTTTACTAAAATCATATAACAATAATAATGTTCACATAACATAACATGAATTACATACATTAATCATTCTAGTCTAACGTTATCGTAATAATAATGATATTTTAAAACAATAACAATTATTGATATCTTTAAGTAATAAACGCTATTGGATTATATACAAAAATGTTTTATTAATCACATAACTAACAGCATATAAATATAAACATAAATAAAAATAATACAGATATGAAAAAGTTCAGCATTTATTTTAAGAGTGATGCTAAATATGAATGATTTTGTTCTACATAAAGGGTTCAGGCACAAATTTAATAGATGTATCAAGACCTTTGCATTAGCAATTAAAATTTTCAATTATAAATCATTTCTGGTATTTATATTAATTGTTATTATACCACTTAATTCGCTAAATGCCTTAAATATTGATATCTCGCTGTTAAATGTTAACTAATAAATTTGTTCAATAATTAATTAGTTAATCACATAAAACATTTTACACATAATTAATGCGTAAAAATGTCATAATTTGCCGTCTCTATACTGAATAACAGTTTTTGTCATAAAATGAATTTAAAATTTTGTGAAACAGTATTTGCAGAAGTGAGGGTATATATATATATATATATATATATATATATATATAATATGTAAGGCCAAGTAAAAAATTGCTTGATTTGAATGATTCGATTAAAAAATACCTGATTTGAGCAATGATTCAAATCAACTTAAATCAATCTTATATGTTATATATACAATTCTAAGTTATTCTGATCAGAGGTCAGGTGGCTAGGTCGTTTATTAATCATTTTTATTTTGAAATTTATTGAAATTGATTTTATATTTAAATTTATTAAAATTATCTTTTTTATTACATAAAAAATAATTGAATTCAATAGATTAATTCAACATAAAATCAATTAAATTTATATTTATTAAAATATTTATTGATAGATATTGTGTCTCAGTCAGACAATTTGTCTGGTATACGTGACCTCAATGAATATTTTTCATTGTAATATGAGATTATTCAAATCACATCACATTCAAGATATCATCACATTCACATCAGGAGTCGGTCACGATGATTCGAGTCAAAATATCAAGGACTTACATAAGACTTGATTTGAATGATTCGAATCCCTTGGTTTCCCATATAGGTATATATAATAGACTATACTGTTTTCCAGAACTCATTAACAACAAACTACATTTTTTTAAGATATCTGTTATCCAACAAAAACTTCAAGAAGTATTGTTAACTAATAACAAATGTCTGAATTTGAAAAGAAAACTTAGACTCAATTAAAGAATGTTCTATTAGCACTCTATGAATATTTTCTGGCACAAGTGAAATAGACTGCCCAATGATCATCATGGTAATCTTTAGAAAATCGGTAAGTTAAAATAATGACTAAAATATATGTATATTATAAATATTGTTTCCATACTCATCTAACTTAACATAAATATTAACACCACATCTTAGATACTGAGTTCACTCTATTAATATAATTTTTATTCCTAACCTAGGTTTTAGGTTTTTTCTGAACTACTGCTGGTTGTAGGTGCAGTTGAAGAACCCGTAACATCATCAGAAAGAACTCTTGCAATATCACTTGGTTTCAATTGTTCGCCTTTCTGGCTTGCATGCAGCAGGAATAACTCTTTCAGAAATGATAGCTCCTTCGTTAAAGTTTGCACCTGCAAGGTAAGATTATAATTTAGTATTTATTTAATATAAATTATTCTTATTAAAGAGATAAAGATAAAATTTGAGTTCGTAATTTTAATATTCTAAGTAGCTGGTTTATAAAAAAAATTCACAGTTTATTCATGTGATAATGTTCATAATTTGAATTTTACAAAAGGGGAGTTTGTTTTCCCAATAAAATCTGGCTTGTTAGATTTGTATTTTCTCAAGCCATTTGAATCTTTTGATTCACATTTCAAGTCAATTTGAATCTCTTGAGACCAAATTACCACTGTACTTCTATAACACGAATTCGCTCTAACATGATTAAATAATTGAGAACATCTCCTTTTTAATACAATACTTTTATAGCACCTTTTGACTCTAACACAGTTCACAAATTAGGCAAAACTATAATAAAATAAGAAATACAATAAAAGCTATTAAGCAAATTTTATTTTATTTGAAATTAGCGAAGTCACTGAACAGTAGCTCAATAATGGTGATAGACCTAGTGCAAACTATACGTAGATAGATAAAGAAACAAGATATAGATTTTCTTTTTTAATCATATGTCTTAAATGAAGCTCTTTTAAATATAATAAGCACAAAATCTAAAAGATGACTTTGCAAGTGCTTAGAATCATATAAAGATATTTATAAAAATCACTCCACTAGAAGCGAGCAATCGAAAATAACAGTTTTTTAGAAAACAATAGGAAATGTATCTAAAAGTAGTTCAGAAAAATGCTCAGAAAATGAAAATATCTTTTTCATTTAGCGAGATATTTTAGCACATAGTAAAGAGGAAGAAAATATTATTTAAATCATTCAATAAGTATTCTTATAAATTTAATAATAAACATGTTTGTCTTTATTATAAAAATATAAGTTATTATATAAATTTTTGAAACCTAATTTCGATTTTTGTACTTGACCTTTGTTTCATTTAAAATTGGATGTACATAATGCAGCAGTTTTTTGGAACATAACAATCATGTTGTTTAGGGTTTACTTACACCAAATTCCAAATATTTGTAATATAATGAAGCAACTTCACCATTTAAACTATGGGTTTAATTTCGAATGAAATGGCACAATGGCTAGTTTTAATAACGTTTCCATGACTGCGTTCTAACATGAAGAAGGCTAATATAATAAAAACCTGTCAGATGTTGAGCGTCATTATCACAGTTTTGTCGAAGCAATCAGTTTAAATATGTATCTTGATTTGAAATATTATTTGAAAGGTGATTTTGGCATGACTTTTTATTTCTATTATTATTATTATTATTATATATATAAATATATATATATATATATATATATATATATATTCAATTATTTCTATTCCGATCAATAAACTTATATCAGTACCAGTGATTTTGATCAATTTAATTGCATATATCAGTTGTTTGATGACATTTTCATTATTTATTATATTTATTCATTTTCGGTAGCTTTCAAATATACAGTATGACATACTTGAATAATGGACAAAATGGCATAGCACTATTTCACAAAAACTACAGTCTAGTTTATTCGAGGCCATGAAAAAAGACAATTGAAACCTGTCAAAGGTGATTGACTTTTAACTTCAACTCTATCTTCCTTTAAAAATAGACCAAAGTATCCATAAGTAAAAAGAAGAGGCTGGCATTTATTGCAAAATCCTCTTTTCCCATTCTGAGCCCAATGATGGCTTTTTACGGTGTATGATTTGTTTTCTTTGGGCTCATGCTCCATATGCTAATGTCTCAAAGAGAACTAAAAAATTTATTAGTGAACTGCCTTTTTAAAAATTAGCATCACAGTATGTTATTAGATTATATCATTTTGTCCGTACTATATGGATAAATTGGTTTTTGTAATTGGTTGCATTATTCCTTAATATATATGTCATTAGAGTCTACTACTACTTATTTAAAAAACTTTATTATTGGTAGTCGACAAATCTAAGATGAGTAAAAACGATTGAAATTGATTATAAAATTATTACATAAATAAATATCATTAAAACTATCTATCATTAAACTATCGATAAAATATAACATCATTTTATCCACACTTTCCCTATTATTTATTTAAAACAATTACTTACTCTGTCTTCTAGCACTTGGTTTTCATTTTTCAATTTTGCTACCCGATCCATGGTCTCTAAAGTTTTCTGTTTAGATTTTACTCGACTTTTCTTGACAGCCTGTTATTGAAACCAACATTAGACATATGTTCATACAACAAAATTATACATATATAAAATATTATAAAATTTTAACTACCTCATTATTTCTTTCGCGTTTCTTTCTATATTCATCATCGTCATCGTTTCCTTTTTTCTTTGCAGATTTTCCTGAGTCTTTTCTTGGTGCCATAGTCATATAAAATGATTTTCAATACCTTTTGTAAGATAATGCCAATTTGTTTATGTTTTAAAATATGAATAGATACAATATTATCTAATATTGTTATTATATTTTGTATAAAACAATGTTTTAACTTATTGACAAAATGAATACGCTTATTGCGTCATTCAGCTGTCAGATTTTGAACAAAGAAAACAGAAACGTCATCATAGCACGTGTTGCAAACCGCGTGGTTTGAATCTTTACTAAGAAAAGTAAAAATAATGACGAAAGATGGCCTCAACGATCACAAAATGTATTGTTAACTTCCGGAAGAAGTTAGCTTTCGCCAGAAAATCCGACTTGCTATTTTTTTTAGTTTTCTTGATGTTTCGAGTTTTTTTTAATCGTTTGAACCTAAATTTGAACTAGTGGGGTGCATGGCATCGTGCCTTAAGGCAAATTGCTGGAACTTCCGGTACCGTAATTAAAAATCTTGGTACGGAACCCAAAAAAAATTACACAAAATGTGTACACATTATATAAATCTTTATAAAATATCTAATAATTTGATGCACATATGTCCAATAAACATTTTTGACCACCAAATGACATTTTTTTAACTTATTATTTTTATTGAGAGTCCATAACCGCCAGACCTGTCTTCCCAAAAACTTAATCAGTTTTTTATCTTGTCAATACAAGAATTACTAAAATCGGACGCTCCGTTATTTTAAGAAGTGAGTTACCGTTTTGGCACTTTTTGCTCCGTATCTTCGAAACGGCTAGACCTGCCTTTGCCAAAAACTAATCAGCACGTCTCCTTATCAATACGAATCGAATGTTTTTTGAATTATTCAAATCGGTTGATCGGTGTTTCCGAAATCGTCGACGAAAATTTGTATCCGCACACACACATACATTCATTTTTTTTTCATTTAGACATTTCTTTAGAATTGGCTCGGTGTAGAAAAGTGTAAAATGTTTTGTTCAAGTTTTCGTCAAAAATTCACCGATTTTGAAAATTTAAAAATTAATCCAAAACTATATCTTGGAAATCGTGTTGATTGGTATTTTTGATAAAACTTAATGTGGCTAGTCTCATGATCTAAATGAATTTCTTAAAATATTATAGTTCAACAAATTGTGATTACAATTTTTAATAATGGTTTGCGAACGAATGAGTCGTTGTTGTTTGGAAGATATATCATTTTGAAATCGCATTTATTAGTTTTTGGTAAAAGCGTCAACTTTCAATATTTTTTTCTATCTAAATTACCAAATTTCAATTCCTGTTGATTGATTCGATTATTTATACATATCGGGAAGTTTGCGCAACGTGCCTTAGCAAAAAGTGCCACTTACACTTAGTTGCTACAATAAATTTATTACAATGACATGAATCAATGAACCGAATTGATTTCAATACTTTATAAACAAAAGAATTCTTTAGTTCATTCTTGAAACAATATAAATTATTTTGCATAAATGATTATTTGCAATATCACGTTGCTCCGATTCAGGTTCAGCGACTCAAGTTCGTCATACAAGGTGACATGACAGGTAATTTTATTAATTATTTATTGAAATTGAAATAATTTGTAGTAGTGCCTGAATTAGCATCAGAGGGATATATTTTTGTGCATCAAAACAATTTATTACAAAGAATATCCAATTAAATAAAAACAATATTAGAGTTATATAAGTCGATTGGTCAATATCTATTCTATTAACTTTCCAATGGAGACGTTTAGGATTTTGCCAGTTTTTTTGCTTCAAATCATTCTGAATTTGAAAGTTTAAATATTTTTAATTTCAAATATTTCAGAGCATTTCAATGAAACTTGATAAGGATTCGCGTTGATTAGTTTTGCGAGATGATTGGTTCAGTCGTTTCTTTGCAATTGATAATTTTTTTTTGCACACGTTTTAGCCAAAAACTCTTGAACTTTCAAATTTTACCATAGTTCGACGGATCTCCTTTACAAAACGTGTTGATTAGCTTTTGGCAAAGATCAGTCAGATCTTTTTTATTTAACTTTACCTTTGCCAGGGTAAATGTTCTGTTGGTTCTTTTTACCCTACCCGCATGTAAGCTTTTATAGAACTTATATAAAAAACTGTTGATTCTAGCTTAAAAAGAATAATACATCTGGTAAAACGATTAAATAACGTATAACGTATTTGAGCAACAGTGCCCACAACCAAAAAAACTAAAAACTGAAGGAAATAGTTTTGTTATGGATCTTT